ATTGAAACAGGCCACGAGCGTTTTATTACCATTATCTCCACCTCATATCAGATGATATATACTCTAAAGAGCTGAAACACTGTAGTTAAATAACGTGAAAACATTTCTTTACAAATTTCTTTTAGTATAAATGTACACTAAATAAATCTTAGAGCAAATACAGTGTCGTTAAACGACCTCTATTTTCATTCATCTCATACGACGGAAAATAACTTCCGCAGTTGAAACAGCGTCGTTAAATACCTTAATACTCAATAAGCATACCCAAAATTCTTTTATCTTTTTCATTTGACACTAAATGTCATTCAACTACGGTTGAAATAAAGCATTTTTATTAACTCAGAATCGATTAACGAGATCACTTGTCGTAGTAACTCATTTGACTTTAAACAAACTCCACAGCTGATGCCGCATCGTTAAATAACTATCCGTTCGAAGTAAACTCTGAGAGTTAAATATCATTCACCGCGTAACTCGACAAATCTCTTGACAGAGATGGAATTCCTCACGCAGCCAACAAGTTATTTTTTTTTCCCAGCGCGGATTTCCTGCGTTCAATTTTAGTTTCTGCTTCTCTCTCTCTCTCTCTCTCTCTCTCTAGCCTCACAGACTGTAAATTCCACAAAATTTTATATCCATTTTTAAAGGCTCCGGTTGTAATACGTAACTTCCGCTGCAGCTGACAAGGTCTCGCTATTTCTTGTTGCGATATTTACGACAGAACTCATAAATCACGAGGATGCGCGCCTCAGCACCGGACAAGCAGCCCCCTGTTATTATCTCCGCCCCCCCCGCCCCCACACACGTCTTATTTCACGCAAAACGTGTTAAGAACGAGAATCTTTCCATTACGCCAGTCAGGAATTGAAACGCAGGCAACTGTTGCGCTGTAAATCTTCTTTCCTCTGGTTTATTTAACTTTTCTCCATTCCCTTCTTCCACTTATTCATCTGTCACTCAGCATCTCCACCCTTTTCTTCCGCAATTCCTTCTTTGACTTTCTTCCGTCTTCTCTGAGTCTATTTTACCTTCCCTCCTCCTCAGTTCTTATTCTTCATCTCTCTATTTCTCTCTGTATCTTCAACACACAACGTAAAATGAAATGTCTTTTTAAGACGCCGCCGTACAATTTCTTGACAAAAATGGAAAAACTCCTAAGTACTCCCAGTCTCTTGGCCAAAATTCTACACAGGGACTCCCCCCCCCCCCCCCCCCCACCCAGTGCGTCTTTCATCTCTTTTTCTCTCTTATCTCCTTGTAATTTACGGGTTCGTTTTCATTGTCGTCGCTCTGAGTCCATTCCCTGCTGGAGGAGAATCGGAGTGGAGTCACTCTCTTTATTTATGGACCCTCCATCCACTTGCATCTTTCAGGTCTTGAATTTGCCTTTAAACACACGTATAACGACGTATCTACTGTACGCCTTCTGTTTTTAATATACTATCGTAAGGGTTCGTTTTAAATGTGTTTACCTGAGAGGTGGGTATGGCTTTGCGGTCTCCAGGCGCTCCATTTCGTGTTCGACGTTATTTTTGTTACCAGATACATTTCAAATTTCTGGTTAAGAAATCTGTTGCTTCACTTGTGTATCTCCTGAGCACAAAGACATTCTCGTTTCACAGGTTAATGAAGCGACAAGCTTCCTTTTCGTTGCCTCTCCAGGAAGTTCTCGAACCGCACTTAGTTGTTTGCAAAATGCTGGTGGAGATCGATTTATTCCTAGTCTGTTTAACAACGCTTTAAAGTGCTCATATTATATGAATTACAAATTATGTTTATCGAAGCTTTCGTCGCCTATTTTAAATTACTGTCCCAGCATTAGCGACTAAAGCCACACGAAGCGTATTGTCTAGGTTGGGCTGTATCTGGCCTTAATACTCAATAAGCATACCCAAAATTCTTTTATCTTTTTCATTTGACACTAAATGTCATTCAACTACGGTTGAAATAAAGCATTTTTATTAACTCAGAATCGATTAACGAGATCACTTGTCGTAGTAACTCATTTGACTTTAAACAAACTCCACAGCTGATGCCGCATCGTTAAATAACTATCCGTTCGAAGTAAACTCTGAGAGTTAAATATCATTCACCGCGTAACTCGACAAATCTCTTGACAGAGATGGAATTCCTCACGCAGCCAACAAGTTATTTTTTTTTCCCAGCGCGGATTTCCTGCGTTCAATTTTAGTTTCTGCTTCTCTCTCTCTCTCTCTCTCTCTCTCTAGCCTCACAGACTGTAAATTCCACAAAATTTTATATCCATTTTTAAAGGCTCCGGTTGTAATACGTAACTTCCGCTGCAGCTGACAAGGTCTCGCTATTTCTTGTTGCGATATTTACGACAGAACTCATAAATCACGAGGATGCGCGCCTCAGCACCGGACAAGCAGCCCCCTGTTATTATCTCCGCCCCCCCCGCCCCCACACACGTCTTATTTCACGCAAAACGTGTTAAGAACGAGAATCTTTCCATTACGCCAGTCAGGAATTGAAACGCAGGCAACTGTTGCGCTGTAAATCTTCTTTCCTCTGGTTTATTTAACTTTTCTCCATTCCCTTCTTCCACTTATTCATCTGTCACTCAGCATCTCCACCCTTTTCTTCCGCAATTCCTTCTTTGACTTTCTTCCGTCTTCTCTGAGTCTATTTTACCTTCCCTCCTCCTCAGTTCTTATTCTTCATCTCTCTATTTCTCTCTGTATCTTCAACACACAACGTAAAATGAAATGTCTTTTTAAGACGCCGCCGTACAATTTCTTGACAAAAATGGAAAAACTCCTAAGTACTCCCAGTCTCTTGGCCAAAATTCTACACAGGGACTCCCCCCCCCCCCCCCCCCCCACCAGATACAGGGCTGCCAACTATTATAAATTATGAAACTACACGAATCTACGTTCTGGTTTTGTTCAGACAGACCCCACGTTTATGAACGGTTAATAAAATTTTCTGTAGCTCCGGAGGTGTGAGGCGGTGGATACATCACCCTCTTAATCATTCTCGATTACAATTACTCTCCTAGTCTTCATCACTATTTCCTTCCTATCATCCTGTACTTTCCTCCCCCTCGTTTCTCATTTTACTCTCGCATTCTCCATTTGATTTCTTTCTAGTCCTCATTTATTTTCCTCTTTCTTCCCACATTATCCTTTTCTTATTTTCCCTGTGTTTGTATCCTTCTCCGCCGTGTAATTTTCTTCGCCTAATTTCCTTTTACAACAGCATCAAGGCGTGTCTCTGCCCCCCACTAAAGTTAAATCTGAATTCCGCGCGACCAAACCTAACCTAACCCGCGTCCTCTGTTTTAACATTTCCCACATAATAAATCTCATCAGTGTCTGGTTGCTGCTTCATTAGCATTCCGTCGGCAATAAACTTGATACAAACTGTAATTTTTCACAGGAATCTCATCTCACAAAGTGTCAAACAACTTTTATCTTCCTCGCTCATTTGTATCGCTTAGCAGACATAAACCCACACACTCCACCTTACACTTACACCGAACACGACGTGCAGCGCATTCGAAAGCCCCGAGACCATGAACGTATCTACACACGCGATAACAGTACCCAAAATCATCCAGAGACACAATCAAGGAGAGACAGTAGTACCAATGTAAATAAGAAGAAGTCAGAACAAGTAGTGTATAAGAACACGCCATCTTCTACTTAAGTTCTGTTACACATTTACGTATTAAACAGTTTCCAAAGACGGCTATCAAAATTTAATTTTCATTTTTTCCGTATCGTATAAACGTCGCTTCGTGCAGTCAACCGTGACGGACACTGGATATTATATTACGAGTACACGATAAGAAAACATTGGAAAAAAAACCCTAAAAAGTACCATGCTAAAAGTTGATAGGAAATCAATTTTTAATCAGGAAGTATGGAGGAAGGATTTAACACAAACGAAAATTCTTAGGAGTGCATCATAAAGGTATTTTGAACGCAAAGATAATCAGATGAGCGTATAGTTTAATGGTACAAATTATAACACCGGGTTAACTCGAAATATATCAGTAAAAATACAGATTATAAAGCGCTGAAATGATTCTGTAGGAAAACACAATTCGTTAACTAACACAAACGGATTCAATTCACTACGCAGCATCACAAGACCCAGGCATCTGTATCTTGTATGAGGCAGACTTAATAAATTCATTTATTTTCATTCGGCATGACAGCTACCGTAAACAACGCCACGGCATCAAGACTGCAGGCAATCCTGCCTCCACGGACCCCTTCATTTTTCCGTCATGTTTACGCAGAATACAGAAAAAAATGAGCGAGGATTCCTTTACCTACCTCGAGGTCTTCAGAGAAACCGCTCGACTACGCTCCGCTTGTCGACATCCAATAGAACATCTTAAAACCGCTATACAGTTTACCGAAAGTCGGGATCGAGAGACAGAAAAATTATACAAAAGTTTGCGATCAGCTTTGAGACTTATCACGAACCTTCTCAGCACAAAGTGCTTTAAATTACGTAAATATCCACTCAATATAAATACAGAATATCCCACAAAGATGTACATACAAGGTTAATATTCCGTACATAATGCTTATACGTATTTTCTTAAAATCCCGTATTTTAAAAATTACCAAAAGTCTTACGATGTACAATAAAAAACATATTTACGCATTAAACCTGTATCATTATCAAAGGACGAAACACCGGTGACCATAGATCGCTTTATGCATTAAACATAAAAACTATAGTCTGCTAATAACACGCATGTGCATATGAGAGAATAAAAGACAAATATGTAAAGGTTTTAGATGAAATTAGATTCCGATCCGATTAGACAAGTTTCTTCAGGATTTTGGATTTAACGTAAAAACAAGTTTGCAACGCGCTCCTGTCAATAAATAGTTAAATGCGGACAAAAAGTAAGAATGACCTTGAAAAGTAACAGTAATCATAAAATTGCAAACAACATATATTCAACAACATACAAAGCACAGGGCAAGAGATAAAGCAAAAGTGATGCTCCCTACCTGCTGCTGGAGAAAGCTTCGTCACGACACCCCATCGCTGTTTCCACTGAAAACAGATAAAAGATTTATTAACTTCCATATTGAAGCATTAGAACACCCTGTCTCACTAAACACCATTTCCACTATAAAACCCAACAAGTTTCCATAACCTGACTCAGCTCAGTACATTTTATATCCAAAAATCTTATTTATATTCACAGAGTGGTATTTGTACGAGAGGTTTCCGAATCAAATTATTTTATATATTTTTTCGTTCCCCGTTGCACTTACCATTCCTCTAACCTCTTTATCAATTCGTCACGAAAACACTACATTACACTGCAGTCAGCTGTTTATATCCTTTCACCTCTTTTCCACTACAACTCAGACCCTATTTGAAACATCGCCTACGAACATAAAGCAATATTATTTCCGAATTGACATCACGTGTCAGATGCAAAAGAGAGAGAGACAGAGAGACGAAAAATAAACAATTCAAAATAGCTTTCATTTTCCTTAGAACTAATATTTGACTAGCGTAGTATTTCAGTGACTTGCTTGTAAAGAGCACATGTAGGACATAAAATGTAACTGTTTCCAGGGTTGCGTGATTGTACCCTCCGCCCTGTTGGATGGGACTTGAAGTTGTACAGTCACAGCAAAAATTCACTTAAAAAGCGAATTCTAAGTCAGTACAGGATGGTCCAACATTCCGGAAGGCAGCCTTCGCCGTGCATTTCATTTAAGCCATTTTAACGTGTGAGAAAGCAGGTGGCCTCATCGTGTTCGTTAAATTTTCCATCCAATGACACTTAAAACAGTACGAAGGATATAAATAATGCTTGTCATTATAGTTTCCCTCCATTTGTCAGTTCAAATCTCTTGAGATAAAACAGTGCCATTAGCATTCTGTACTAAAATGAGTCTCTCTTCCCTCTGTGAGAGACACCACGCAGAATGTGTGAATTCTCTAAACTGGGTGTAATAAAGATCTCGACAATTTGCTTCAAACGTTCGCGGTTTCCTTAAATATTTTTTTATTTCAATTAAATACCTTTAAATATATATATTTACGGTTTAACAATGTTTACGCATTTTTCCTGTACCTAAGGTTACTTTTTTGTTACCTTGGGTAGGACTCCTTCGACGAGGGAATGCCCCGCACATCGACACGTAGAAAAAGTCGAAGCCCACATTTCGATAACCACCTTGATTACGTTTCCATGTGGGCGGGACAGCGTACGGACAGACAACGAACACGAGGTATAATCGATTATGGGCATATCTGAATCAACCACAAAGAGTTCCTGATAATTCGTGTCACTTCCATGTTGCATGTCGTACAAATGAGAAACATAACGACATCGACTCAACAAACATATTCCAGGAACACGGCTTGTATCGGGTGACTGACACCAGCGCACTTCATGACGAATTGTTTGAAAAACGAGTATCGATACAGCCAAAATTCATGCGTCCCGCCGTGTTATTATCGAAAACATTTCGGCGGACTAATGTTGCTGGAACTGTCAACCATCGCACTGGTACCCCCGTCTCTCTCCAGCTCTGCACGCATGAAGGCAGTTCTGAAGGACGAGCACTCTCTCGTGGCAGAATAGTGATTGAATTTTGTCTTCGGATGTAATCGGGAATGACGTATGTTTTATACACCCGCGATTTTAACTTCGCTTGTTTCGTTCAGGATTTTCACAAAAAAGGGCCTTCTTTGGACGGTAATCAACAAAGCGCTGTAGTAACAAAGTCAAAGCAGGACACACCTGGTCACACTTTGTAAAGCTTGGGCACGCTTTCGTTATATTACGTAAGGCTCAGGTGATTTTGGCTACTTTGCAATAAGTTAGATGAAGTTACTACAGGTTAATTTATGATAGGTTGGGTTGGGTTAGGTTAGGTTAGGTTAGGTTAGGTTAGGTTAGGTTAGGTTAGGTTAGGTTAGGTTAGGTTGGGTTAGGTTATGTTAGGTCAATTTTTTTAGTGGATTTTGTTAGGTTAGTTAACGTTTTGAAAAATTTTCTGACGTTTTGACACTTATTGAAACAATTTGTCACGCCGTTACAGTATGTCACGCCTAGTCACGCCTTGTCAGGCTTGGTCACCCTAAGTCACGCTTTGTAAATATTCATCACGTTTCGACATTTCTGGCCTCATCCCTTCACGCCGTTACTGTGTGTCACGCCTAGTCACGCTTTGTCACGCTTGCGCACGCTCGATCACACTTGGACACGCTTTTCAAATCTTAGACATATTTAACTCTTATGATGACCTCTCGACACGCCTTTATAGCAGGTCACGCCTAAGCACGCCTAGTCACGCTTTGTCACGCTTGTTCACACTAGGTCACGCTTCGTAAATATTCGTCACGTTTCGACACTTCTGGCCACATCACTTCATGCCGTTACTGTACGTCACGCCTAGTCACGCTTTGTAAATCTTCGTAACGTTTCGACAGATATGGTGTTCCCTTGTAACAAAGTCAAAGCAGAACACGCCTGGTCACGCTTTGCCACGCTTTGTCACGCTTGGGCACGCGTGATCAATAAGCCATGCTTCGGCACGCTTACGTTATGTTATGTAAGGATCAGTTAATTTTGGCTACTTTGCAATACGATAAGCCATGCTTCGGCACGCTTACGTTATGTTATGTAAGGATCAGTTAATTTTGGCTACTTTGCAATACGTTAGATGAAGTTACGACAGGTTAGTTTAGGTTGGGTTGGGTTAGGTTAGGTTAGGTTAGGTTAGGTT